GTGTGGGGTTATTAGGAAGAGTGCGGCGATAAACCTGACGCCAGACAAGGACAGAGGCGCCGAGAGTTGAAGCGATTGGCTGAGGGATAAGTGGTAATTGTTAAGGAGGGGGGGTAATTACGCAAAAGACCGGTGGGTGGGCGGCCGAGGGAGAATCCATTACAGAGAGCACGTACCTTAAAGGAACTAAAGCACTTTACCAAAAGCCTCCGGTTTAAGGCAGGCATATCTAAAATGGAAAAACCCTTAATAAAAGCATGTGCGGTTACCAGCCAACATTATATACAGTGATGAGTTGCCATCAAAAATGTGATTAGCTGGTTGGGCTGATTCCATTCTAATTAAAAAGAGAAAAATGTCGTCCCAACAGCACCAGCAGAAGCACTAAAAGTTAAATATAAGGTTGCAATATCTTTATGATTTGTTGAAAAAAGCCATCTTGTTGACCATTTATTTATATTTTGAAAAGTCATTTTTGAATATTTTTTTTTTTTTAATTTATTTTAAATGCAAAATTATTTATATTTTTATTAAAAAAAGCGTTGGCTTTTTTAATTTCCCATTATTTATGGAAAAAATTGCTTAATTTTGTTAATTATTTGTTTAATATCTGTAAATAATAATATTACTATAAAAATTATACCAATGATTTTAAATATCATATATGTTTTTACTTATTATACATTAAAATCAAAATTAATTTTATTTTTTAACCAAGTTAAATAATCTTCTAATGATACTGCTTCTATAACAATAGGCATAAATCCATGATTTACTCCACAAATTTCACTACATTGTCCATAAAAAACACCCTCTCTTTTAATAAACATCGAAGTTTGATTTAAACGACCTGGACAAGCATCTAATTTTATACCTAATGACGGTATAGCCCATGAATGTAATACATCTGATGCAGTAATTAATACTCTAATATGACTATTAGTTGGAACTCCTCCACGATTATCCACTTCTAAAAGTCTAAATTGACCAATAGCTAAATCATCTTCATGTACCATATAACTATCAAAAATTAAAGGTTCATCGGAAAATTCTAAATTATCTGAATATTCATAACTCCAATACCATTGACTACCAATTACTTT